ACATGCCTTGTTTTTATTTGGGCTTGTATGTAATATTTTGTAGACCGTTTCCTTTTATTATTTATCTTTATTTTTTTTTAAATATATACCAGTATTCTGTCATTATTCAATGATTTTTTATAGCACCAATTGGTACCTTTACATATTTATACAATCATTGCTCGAGAATACACTCTCTAAGATCATTTGTTTAAAAACTCATATTTGGTAGGGTATTTTTAAAATTGTGTAGATAATATATTTGTAGGAGTTATGGTCCTTTACATTTCGTCACCTAAGAATTATACTGGTTTATGTCCAATTTTGTCAATTTTGGAAAAATAAGACTTGGAAGTTTATTTGCTCATATTTATTTTATATTAAACTCGATCTTTAAAATAAAAAAGGGAAATGCTTATACATGTCCTAGGTGTATTGTAAGTGTTTTACATGATATACTATTTTGATCAATTGAATAGAAATTGAAATCAAATATTTGAGATAGAACATTGTATGACCAAAAAAGAATGAAAAAGTTAAATCTTATACTGATATTGGATATAAAACAGTATACTTCTAAACTATAAGTTATTTAAGCATACTGCCCCCATGATGAATTCCTTTGATATTGACCACTTTTTAAGTATTAATAAACACAGGAAATTTTCTAATGTTTTATTTCAAAAACATAAACATCAAATAAACTAACCTACCTAAAAGTACAAAATGTATCAACGACTTTCGTTTCAAACGACTAAAAAAAACCATCCTTCTTGGAAATAGTAAAATCATAAAAATAATGAATGCAAAATAAAAATGTAATAATAAAAAAAACCCGGAATTTTCGATATCAATAACCACAATCTAGTTTAATTAAACTTTTGGACTTTTTATTGTTCAATTTCAGTTGTTACTCACATTTTGTGTGCCTTATTGCAAAATAACCATTGATTATCTAGTCTAACCCTTTGAATATAAGAAGAACAAATATTATATCTTGTGGTTTTGAAAATCAAATCAAAAACCTGGAATACCACCTACTTTGAATTAGGATAAACAATTAAAAAAGTATCCTTCTAAATGTTATTCACACATTTCTGTTTAAACAAACTTGTCACAATTCAAAAACACATTCCAAAATCAATTCAATTTCTGCTTCATTAAATTTACTTCAATACTTTTTCAAAGTAGCGACGATCATTTACTGGCATATATTTATACATTGTCTTGAGGTCGGCAATCTTTTCCTTCGACAACGTGGGAGTCTTGTCAAGTTTTACAATTTTAGGTGGAGTAAAACCTGAAATGCCACCACTCCCCTTCCTTGTTTGTTTTCTAACAGAAACCTCAGTGTAACTTTCATCTCCATAAGCTTTTTTGTATTTCACATGACATGACATGGATGAATCAAGTTTAAGCTGACTTACTTTGGTAAATGGAACTTCAGAAAAAGCATAAGACAAACTGGCCTTTTGGAAATTCATAAAGTCCGACTCCTTCATCTGAATTACTTTCATGCTCCGTTTCCGTACATTAGTCAGCACTCTCATGCAGCTGACAGGACTATAGATTTCATTCAGGTGTAGTGCCTTCTCTATGTGGCTATGGACATTATCAACCTCCTGGATTGTAGAGTGTCCAGCCTCTGAAAAGTTTTGTTCTATTGTTGTAAGAGTTGGGGTCGTATATAGCAAATTTTTTAAAGCTGACAACATTAAAGAATTTCTGTTCTGTGGTACACATGAATCTGACCACAAGGTAATTGTATCTAATGTTATAAATTCAGCCAAAATATTTTTCAAAATAACAATAAGGGCACTTGCTATTTCATTCCCTCCTCGTCCAGCTAAAGTTTCTGGCCATACAGCATTGTATGCACATTTATTGAGAGAACAGTGAGCAGTAAGATTGTACATGTTTAGTTTTCTTTTATAAAAGAAATTTGAAATATTAGCACGAGGACATGTGATTACATTTTGCATATCAAAGCAAACAACAGGCTTGATACTATGTCTGTCCTGATCTCGTTCTACTTTAGCGTTGTTTTTGTTTTCAATGTGATTTTCGTATTTTTTTTTTCAATTCATCAGTTAAAACATTGTTTTTCGAACAGGATTTAAATTCTTCACATTGATCACACCTATCTTTTTTAGGAATGTGAAATCCTAAGTTGAATTCACTGTTAAAAATACTTCGATAGATATGACTTTTCTCAACTTTGATGGACTTTGACTGACACTTTTCCGTATACAGCTGATACATTTTTGAAAGAGACAACGTTGGTTCTAAGTATTTACGAGAGGAATTAGCTCTACAATAATGAGATTCAACTCTCGGAAATGAGTTGATATGATCCCGAATAATGCATAGGGCTGCTTCAGGAATTTTGTACTTGATATGTTGTCCTCTTTTGTCCTCAAAATCAGGATTCTTATGATCAAAATACCACTGTATTCTCCGCGCACTTATATCAAGAGTGCTTAAATAGAATTCTTTGCAAACCCGCACTTTGGTTAGACCAAGGATGAAGTTGTACTCATATGAAAATTGTTTTCTGGAATTTTGTTTGCTAGTGCGATGCCTTTTCTTTTTGTTTCTTATTACAGTCCTTGAATAGAAAGCATTCTTTGCAGAATCATTCAATGACCAAAACGAATCAAACATGCTCTTCCTTTCAGAAGCAGAAATCTTATTACTACATTTGTATTTACAATGGCCCTTGCAATCTTTTTTGGTTTTTATTCTTTTACTTTCCACAGTTTTTCCCTTTGCGTTGATATATTCTTTGCCAGACTGGCGATAACGCTTACGTACGTTTTGTTTCCAGTTTTGTGTTTGTCTCTTTTTCTGCTTCTTTGTTTGCTTTCATTATTTGTATCTTCATTATTTATACTTTCATTGTTTTCGTTAGTGTTATTGTTTTGATCACTATTAACATTTATTTGGTTGCTCTTTGTACTTATCTTTAATAATTTCATTTGTGTCTTTTATATTTTCATTTTGATTTGTTTGACATGGTTCTCTATAATAATAAGAGTAGTATTCTCATCTGTGTCTTGTATAGCTTGTAACAGTTCTTCTTCTGTTGAAATATGGATAACTGTAGTGTTTATGTCATCCATCTTTTTAAAAAGAATTGTCTGTGATCTCGTTCTTATTACACAAATAGTATATCAAATCTGTGTAATTGAAATGAACAAACTCACGGAATTCATCGTCATTGACGCCAGGTCGTAAACTTAAGTGAATAGATAACAAAGTCGAATAGCACTTAGTAAGTATTGCATCTATTTCTTCTGTTGAAAGAGGAATTCCACATATATCCAATGTATCTATCAAGTATAAGTGGTGTACAATGTAAAGTATAGTTAGTGGGGTAACTGTATCAAAAGACAAATACAAATTTGTCAACTTATGACAGTTGGAAATTACGACAAAGTCTACGTCAACTAGATGCTCAAACTGTGACAGGTTCAAATATTCGAGATTTGGCAGCTGTAATAGGAAACAGGTTGTTGAAATTTCTGTATTTGACAAATCAAGCCATGTTAAGTTCGTTGATTTGCTAATATTAGAGCACAATAAAAAATCTAAACTGGCTATACTGGCGTTGTAGTAGGACAAAGAAATGTCAAAGAAAGAGAAACAACTAGAATGCGATAAAATGTACTCCAAATCTTTTTCATACAAATGTAGGGAACGAGAGAATTCAAAGTTTCTCCATAGACTTGATGTGAATTTAACTATTTGTTTAAACCTTTGGTAAGTCCGATTAACAACAGTTAATAGCTCTTCCAGTTCAATATATGAAAAAATGTGAATAATAGCTAAATCTGGCAGGTCAATGATCGTTGTTTGGACATCATAGTCACTGCAATTTAAAGAAAAAAATACATGAATAAGGTTCTTGACAGAATCTCAAAAGTTAAAAAAAAATACAAATTTAAGATTGAATGTTTTCATTTTGAGACAGATTTATTTTCAGATTTTAGGTTGTTGTGGACTGTGATACTAGTTGTTTTTTAATACTTTGTGTATATAGTCTTAAGAGTATTTTTTAACATTATAGTGATATATCTCTCTCTTTTATTTCAAAACATTGTATAAGAGTATATTGCTTTTAACATTATAGTGATGCATCTCCATTTGATAATGAAATGCATTCTCCATGAAGTGTTTTCTATCAGAAGGAATATCTAAATACTTAATTTGCAAGTTTGAACACATCTTTCCTTAGAAAATGAAACAATTCTTTGACATTAAAAAGGAAAACATAAGAAATTAACTCACCAGATAATTGATATGCTTTTTAAAAATGGCTATTCGTCAACTTTGTCCGTGTGACTTAAACCGAGATATCCTATTGGCTATGGAGATAGAACATTATAATGCTGAATACAAGGGATAAGAAAGGAGTTAGAACAGTTAAATACTGAAAATAAGGATTACAAAGCAGGGAAAAATATATATAAGACATCATACAGATAGAACATAGTAAGATAATTCTGTGTGCAAAATATTGGCATATTTTTGAAAATTGGAGATATAACAGTATAATTCTCATGCGACGATTTGTATGCAGTTTTTATTTCATGAATGTGCATTGCTTAATTGAAATGGTATGTGGATGTATCATGTCAGTAACAGGTATATGTTCTGTAAATATCTTTTGCTGGATATTATCAGGTTTGCCTGTTTTAAAAGGCAGTGAAATGCATTCAACATTTTTTGTCATTCTTGAATGCCAATATGCAGAAACTTCAGGGTATAATCAATCAATACACAAAATCCTTGTGAAATATTGAGCTTTAGACAATTTATTGATGCCAACTATGCGACTGAATTAGCATATACAGATGTCTCACATTCGACAACTTTCATTTAGACAATGGCCAAGAAAAATTTCCAAGTTTGTTAGGATTATAAACACACTAAATTTCTCAAACCCTAGAAATCAGAGACAACTTCAATTCATGCCCTGGTGGAAAAAAATGAAAAACTAAGAATTAAAAACAGTTAAGTCATGTCATGAAATTTTATTACTGCATCACTAACAACATGTAGAATGAACATGATTATTTACATTAATGTAAGATGATAATAAAAATTGTTCAGTTGGATCTGGCTTGTTCTTTCATAAAAACATAAAATTATCACATATATAATACATCAGATCGGTTAAGTACTGCTCTTGTCCTACATCGCGATATCCGATAAAGATTAAGTCCATAGAAAAACTAGTGATTTAATTATCTGCAGAGGGACTTCGACTTCTGTCATTCTTTCTTGGTGATCTTGAGGCTGAGCGACTATAAGAATGTGATCTGAAATGCAAAAAGGAATGAAAATTAAAACTTTCAATAACTTATAAAGGAACAAGTTCATTGTCTGTAATTGTCTTTCTCCAGAATATGGATTATGGTGTAATTCCAATTTTCATTTATCTGCAAGTTGAGTTTATTCACACAGCTTGTGTAAAGATAATTTGGTGGTGCTTATTGCTGAAGGGAGTACAGTGAACCTTAGATATATGATCTATGTGTTTTGGAAGTATTTACCAGTTATCTTGTGGTGTTGACTTATGGGATTCAAATTTAAAACAAGTAACTGAAGTCAAATGAATCTCGTTATAAAGGAATATTAAAGGTCATTTGCAACAGTTTGTGAATAAGATATGATGGTACAGAATTTTTAGTATCAGTATTCAACGTTTAAGAGATAGCAATAGAAAATAACATTGATGGAGACTCTGGCCTTTGTTAGTCTTGTATGTTTTTTAATTTTAGTTCATTAATATGTTTTGGAGTTTAGTGTGACGTCAATTTTCACTGAACTAGTACACAAATTTATTTAGGGGCCAGCTGAGGACCACCTCCGAATGCGGGATTTTCTCGCTGCGTTGAAGACCCATTGGTGGCCTTCGGCTGTTGTCTGCTCTTTGGTCAGGTTGTTCTCTCTTTGACATATTCCCCATTTCCATTCTCAATTTTATGAACTATATCTGAAATGACATGCACATTTGACCCACAATTTGCCATCTACAGAAAACATTTGAAACTAGAAATTGCAGATGATGTTGTGTTAAGTATACCCCAATTGTTCCCATGGAAAATACAATGCTCAGACAGTATAATAGAAATTTAAAGTATCTTCAAATATGAAGGGACTCCCTGATAGATTTGAACATCTCTAACATGATACTAATTCAAATTATAAAGGTCCTAACTAAATATCATCAAAAGTGACCACTCAAGAGCGGTGACCTTTTAAACGAGGTTTTGAATTATTCTGATTCCGACATCAGGGCAAAGTGTTTTAGTGTTTTCAATCGGTAGAGTTATCTTTCTTGCAGCAGTGAAATGAAAAATGGCAGATTCAGGCGCTGAAATTTGAAGGAAACATTCGAAATATGTTTATATTTGTGGAAAAATAAGTCAATGATACGGTTTTTAATGGAGATGGAAAGGTGTGGAACACGAGGAATTCACTAATTCATCTCCCATAACACAATCTCTGTTCAATTTTCAATTTGACTTCGATACTGAACTCATATATTTTTTGTCATGATTATTTAGTTATTTAAAATTTTTAAAATGACTGTTGTTAAAAAGTTGAAATGACTATTTCGTGCAAAAATTAGGTGACCAATGAAACAAGTTAAATTATATAGAGAAAACATTAGGGAGGGTCCGAAAGTGACCGTTACAGGCAGGTGACCGCTAAGGCAGGTTTGACTATACATTAAAATTGGAAACAAAGTCAGTTATAGGCAAATGGACTTAAGTGTATTCACAATGAGAGAAAGGTTCACACAAGGATAAAACAAAAGTGTTTAAGGGAAAGTCATGCAATTTTTTGGTGGATATCCCTAGGGGATCAAAGTAAGTTTTTCTGGACTTTTATTATCCTAAAAAAAGTTATATTTATAGATTATCGATGGTTTTTCAAATGAGAGGGTGTTTTTCAGCTACAATCTCATCGAAGGGCGACAGCCCTGAGATGAGATGTGGCCGAGAAACATCCTTGAGTTTGAAAGACCATTGATTATCTGTTTATTGCTATTTTGCCTATGACGTCGTTGATGTTTACATTGACAACGTCACGTGCGCCCTCAAGTTTCTGACGATAATTTTCTATCTCAAGCGAGTAGCGCGATATGAAAAATTATCACAAATAAATGGAGAATGTGTCCCCATGGACACAGATAATGCCCCCGATTGCATACAACGTTATAAAGGGACATAACTCAAGAACAATAAAAGTGACGCTACCCAAATTTGTACTTGATCAGAGTTTTGTGGTAATAAGTATTGTGTAAAGGTTTTTTAATGTTTGGTTGGGGCAAACTTAAGTAACAGAACAGAAACTAAAAATTTTGCACTTTTCGATTTATAAAGGGGCACAACTCAATAATGAATAAAGTGACGCCACCAAAATTCAACTTCATCTGTGTTTTGTGGTAAAAAGCATTGTGTATAAGTTTCATAACATTTGGTTGAGGGAACTTGTTAGAGAAAAGAAACTAAAAATTTTGTAATTTTTCCATTTATAAAGGGGCATAACTCTAGAACAGTTAGAGTGACGCTACCAAAATTCAAAATTTGATCTGTATTTTGTGGTAATAAGCATTGTATATAAGTTTCATAACATTTTGTAAAGGCAAACTCAAGTTAGAGAACGGAAACCAATTTTGGGACATACGGATGTACATACGTACGTACAGACGCACAAGGGTAAAACTTAATGCCCCCTCCGCTACGGCGGGGGCATAAAAAAATATCAAAGGAAAAATACGCAAAACAGCGATAATATGTTTTAGTAACTTACCTCTCCCTATCACCACTTCCTTTTCTATCATGTGATCTTGACCTTGATCGACTTTTAGAATGACTGTATGATTTCCTACTAACAAAAATAATATTTTGTATCTATAATTAAGTTAATATATGCTCCTATTAAAAATTCTATATCTACCAAGTTTTGCTTTACTCATGATCAATAAAAAGACCAGGATGCAGATGGACATACTAAAGTAGTGTTATCCCTATGTTTTATTTGCCTTTAATTGGCAAATTCAGAAGATGCTCTACAATGTTTGTAGGAGTATAGTATTAAAATCTGACAAGTATTGATCAAATATGTAATATCCAACATTATTGATAATCAATATCACTATGGTTTGAATACCTTAGAAGAAAATATGACAGAGGATTTTAATAAAAATTCATTAACTCCAGTCATTAAAACTTCAATGTGATAAATCCTATATAAATCCATGTCTGTCTTACTACTGATGAAAATCTTAAATATCAACATACAACGCTATTGGGTTTAAGCAATTTATTAAAAACACTGGACAGTATGGTTGATCATGGACATGTTACTTCAAAATCAAGTTTGAATGTAACTGTTTTTGTTAGTCTTAACATATTTTCAGACACATTAAAACATTATATATCTTACCTTCCACGACTTCTACTTCTGGATCTCCTGAAATAAAAAAAAAATCACTTAAAAAAGGTAACATTAGGAGTGGAACATGTAAAGTCTTTGCATTAACCATATATGTATCTCAACAAGCATTCTGAGAGTATTGCCTGGCAATACATAGTCCCCTACCGGTTAAAAATTAATTGTACTGGAACAAAATGTTAACTTGATCTATAACTTGTCATGGTGTAAACTTTATACCAAATATCAAGTCAATATCTTCAAGCGTGACGAAAAAAATATGGAAAATTGATTATTTGAGTGAATTTTCTAAGTCCAAGGACCATAACTCTGCACAAAATCATCAGACCGGATCAAAATTCGAACTTGATCTGTAACTTGTCATAATAAAACTATATACCAATTATCAAATCAATATCTTCAAGCATGACTAAAAAAAGTGAGGAAAACTGATTATTTGAGTGAATTTTCTAAGTCCAAGGACCATAACTCTGCACAAAATTATCAGACCAGAACAAAATTCGAACGTGATCTGTAACTTGACATAATAAAACTATATACCAATTATCAAATCAATATCTTCAAGCATGACTAAAAAAAGTGAGGAAAACTGATTATTTGAGTGAATTTTCTAAGTCCAAGGACCATAACTCTGCACAAAATTATCAGACCAGAACAAAATTCGAACTTGATCTGTAACTTGACAGAATAAAACTATATACCAATTATCAAATCAATATCTTCAAGCATGACGAAAAAAGTGAGGAAAACTGATTATTTGAGTGAATTTTCAAAGTCCAAGGACCATAACTCTGCACAAAATCATTTGACTGGAACAAAATTTGAACTTGATCTGTAACTTGTCATGCTAAAACTATATACCAATCATGAAATTAATATCTTCAAGCATGACAAAAAAAAGTGGAAAACTGATTATTTGAGTGAATTTTTTAAGTTCAAGGACCATAACTCTGCACAAATTCGTCGGACTTGAACAAAATTTGAACTTGATCTGTATAACTAGTCATGATTAAACAATACACTAAATATCAAATCAATATTTTCAAGCACGAAGAAAAAAAGTAGACAGATGGATAGAGTGCAAACCTAAAGTCCCCTTCGACTTTGTCGGTAGGGGACTAATAAAGGGGGGGCTAGGGCCCCTTGCCCCCTCTAAATCCACATCTGACAAGGATATTGAATATTATTCTAATGACCGTAAGTTTTGTCTTATTGATAATTTTCAAGATATTGTACAAGTATCTTTATTTTACAGGTTGTTCATTTCATTTTACCTTTTAGCTTTTCGTACAAACGGCTTCGTTTATATTTAGCAGGCACTTAAGTGAGCATAAAAGACATGAAAATTAAACTATATTTATATATTATGAAAAAACATTCATCGATATGTTTTTTTCCCATATCTTTAAGGGTTTGTTAATGGTTCTCATTTAAAAACATATTTATAAAAATTCTTGAGAAGCGACAACACTGATTATTACCAAACACTTAAAACAACACTTATATTAAAATTTGATTTCTCTCTCAGTTAATCTTTAGTTTCCTAAATAGTTGAGAGGCAGATATATTTCAGAAAATGGGATGGAGCTTCAGCCATGGAATAACATCAAAATGAACATGTTGCATCATAGCTTAGCTCCGCCTACTTTCCTTTAAGATTCTAGTTGGGTTCTGTTTAGTTATCAAAGTATGGTACAACATCAAATTGAAGAAAATAGACCATGGTTTTCCATCAACACACTTTTTAGCAAATTATTTCATTAAAACATCAAAAGAAAAAATGCAATTTATATTACAAAGGTTGTGTATTTGTCTGCTAAGGTCTCTTTACCCTGAAATAATTTGGGGATCTTCATAATTTCCACTCATTACAAGTTTTCAGTTTTCAAAATGTTTGGGTTTGACATATGATATCAAATATGATGTTTAACCAACACATATTTGTCTTGCATCACTTTTTTTTGTTTTTTGTAGTTTTCATTAGTCATTATGCAATAATTGAATTTCAGAAATGATTTTGCTTTTATGAAATCCAAGAGCTTCTACTTTCAGTAACTATGAGATCATAGAGAGAGATATAGTTTCTTAAGGCATATTTGTATTAGAACCTAGACAAGTTTGAACAGAATGTTTATTTTGTAATTTATTTCAAAATAGTCACCATGCTAAACTGTTAGATATCTATGAAGGTTGATCTGTTCTTTATGATGTACTACTGAACATGTGTTTTGAATGTAACTTACCTTCCCCTGCTCCTGCTCCTTGATCTTCTGTAAGATAACATTATCATTCAATGAAATCAACTTGTTAAGTCTTTCATTCTCATGGCCTTACATTTAAATGATTTTACAAGTTCTCGGCAGATCAATAACTTCATACAATAAGCATATTTTTTGTGGATAAATTGTGATATAAATGCTGTGATTGTTTCATAGTGTCTATATTCCAGCATGCAAGGCTGCAGACAGAATATGCATAAACAGTTACAGTATCATTCTGTCAAGATTATTGTACCCTTTTGTTAAATGTTTTGCATTTATATAAAAAAAAAAAGAACAAATATTCATATTTTCTGGTGCCATTCAGTCAGATTGAAAGTCAACTGTAGCATAAATAAATGTGAATATTCACATTAAATATACACTCAATTTTACCATAGTACTTCTATTTGACTTAAAATACTTATCTCTCCCTTCTCTGTAATGATCTCTTACCTTCTTTCGTATGACCTTGAGCGTGACCTCCTGTAAAAGTTTGATTCATTTTCAATTTAAATATTTGTGGTCAACAGACGCACAGAAGGGAATTGGTTCAAACAAGATTATATGTTAGGTCTGATATTAGGTTTACACCAACAGATTATACATTTTTCTACGACTCTCTTTAAGTTCATCTGACGATTTATTTGGCATAATATGAAATGAATTTACATTTGTCTTCCTTTCAGCTTTATTTTTAATTCTTAAAATTTTATAAAAATTAGAAATTTAGAAAGAAATTTGGTTATCTATCATGTCTATAAATACTAAAAGTACATTTCATGTATTGCTAACATACCTTCTATCTCTGCTGCGAGATCTGGATCTTGACCTTCGTCTGCAAGAATAAAATAGTCATTTAAAAAAATTACATCTTTCATGCATTCACAAATCGTCGTGTGAATCTTATAGTGTTATATGTCCCCTTTTGATAAAAATGGAGAAAGCTATATATTTGAGATCCAAGTGCAATGGTCTACCTATACAACTATAATACGAGATTTCTACACTACGAGTTTTTGTCAGAACTACACTGTTCTATCTCCACACTTCCATTGGATTATAATGACTTATTCATTTTGTTAGTTCAGAGAATTTCTTTTTAATAGTGTTGTATCTTCACTATTTCTCATGTATTTCAGCTGTTAAATAATTGTTATCAATATTATCTTAGTAGTACAAAAATGAACTATGAATAAATGGTTTGCATGTATTGAACTCATTCTATAAACAATTCTTAGCAAATCCAGCAGTACAAAATTGGGGATATTACAAAGTTAAAAAATCCATGGTCTATCTCCAATGGAAGTATAGGGATAAATTTCTAAATCTATTGTTTGTAGTGAAATATTCTATCTCCAAAAAAGGGGATGATTTATTTATCCAAGTTGCTCGTCTATTACAAAATTTGGAAGGGTTTCGCGGAACCCAGTGTCTCGCCTACTTTTGCTAAAAAAATTCAAAAGGGTTCCACGGAACCCAGTGTCTCGCCTACTTTGGTGTTAGTCGCAGGCTCAACAAAAATGGGGAAAAAATTATTAAAAATTTTCCTCTAGATACTATCTTTTGATTGTAAGAAGCTTCTATCCAAGTTTGGTAAAAATCCAGGATGGTTTATGAATCTAATAAATGTTTTAAAAACTTTAACTGCAGACTGTATGTAATGTTAACTGGAAGAAAAACTAAGTCCATTTATAAGTAATATACGGATAAACATGAAACAAATTTTTACAAAATTTTCTTCTAGATACTAGCTTTTGATCATAAACAAGCTTCTGTCCAAGTTTGGTACAAATCCAGGATAGTTTAAGAAAGTTATTAAAATTTTAAAAACTTTAACCACAGTGTGAATGTAATGTTAACTGGCAGAAAAACTAAGTCCATTTTTAAGTAAAATACAGATAAACAGGATTTTTTTTTTACAAAATTTACTTCTGGATACAATCTTATGACCATAAACAAGTTTCTGTCCAAGTTTGGTACAAATCCAGGATAGTTTAAGAAAGTTATTAAAATTTCAAAAACTTCAACCACAGAGTGAATATTTGTGGACGCCGCTGCCGACGTAATGTAGGATTGCTATGTCTGGCTTTTGCAATAAAAGTCGCAGGCTTGACAAAAATAATCGAACAAAGAGTTACTCTTCATGTACGTTAATTCGATTCCTATATAACTTTGTATGTCTCAGTCAAATATTTATGATATTGAGCTTTTAAACTTTAATTTAAGTTTTTACCACTATTACCAAATGGGAAATACAACATTATAAGATTCACACGACGAAATGTTCTGTCAAGTCTTAAAGTAGAATGTAACAGAAGCTGTATGAAAACAAGTCAGTTATAATCCAAAATTGCTCATGTGAACCTTGATTCAGTTAACTTCACCTTAGATTTACTGGAGTTTCACCTGTAGCTCTTGTACCTTCCTTAATCAATAAAAAATTATGTCCCACCTTCTTGGGCTTCTAGATCTTGATCTGTACCCATAAACGTATAAAGTGAAAAAGAAAATTATTGTCCATAAACATGTACACAGCTTTTATGATCTAGCAATATTCTTGATCATGCTACTAATCTTTTATTTTTAGTTTTACAGACTTTATTTTTGGGCATCTTTGAGAAAAATATTTCTTCTGACATTTGTATTTGGTTTTGTATGACTACTTCCAGTAATTCCCCAAAACTTTTCACAGAATGTTTTTTTTTTTTCGTATTCTACAACACTGTTAAATATATATTTGAAAAGACGAATGGGTACAATACTCGAGAATAGTATCTCTACATGTAACATAATTCCAATCAATTAAAGTTTCCCCTCAGAATATTGGTACTCTCTCGATTGTCACAACTCTACTCTGGATTATTTCTCACTTATGATGTTTGTTGTAGTTATTGGTTTATAACAAATTGTCATACTTTAAGGTATCTGTATAAAAGTATGACATTTTTTGCTAGTATTAAGAATAAAGCCATCTGTCTTTCAGATGAAAGTCTGTGTAAATAAAAAAAATTGAACAATTCTTTATTTAATTCTCTTGCTATTGCTGGTCTTTGAAAAGAAAGTCTGTAAAATTAAATAAAAATAAATGGGAAATGTGTCCATGCCCCTGCTTGCATATAACATTATAAAGGGACATAACCCAAGAACTGTAAAAGTGATGCTTCCCAAATTTGTACTTGATCTGAGTTTTGTGGTAATAAGCATTGTTTATAAGTTTCATAATATTTAGTTGGGGCAAATTTAAGTTAGAGAATGGAAACATAATTCAGTAATTTTTCCATTTGGAAAGGGGCATAACTCTAGAACAGTAAAAGTGACGCCACCAAAATTTGAACTTGATTTGTGTTTTGTGGTAATTAGCATTGTGCACAAGTTTCATAATATCTGGTTGAGGCAAACTACAGTTAGAGAACGGAAACCAATTTTGGGACGTACAGAGGGACAGGGGTAAAACTTAATGCCCCCTCCGCTATGGCGGGGGGCATAAAAAACAACACTGCTTATATAGAATTGTAATTTTCATTTAACAGCCTCAAACCTTTGGCTTCTGCTCCTTGATCTATGTCGTCTGCTCCCACGTCTGTCATAATCATCCCTACCACCATATCTTGACCCTCGTTCCTTTCCTCGCATCTGGTTTGGTGCTGTCAAAAACATTGTTCAATTCAGACAATTAATAAGATCAAAAGCAATGAGTAAAAAGATAAGTTAGTTATACATCTTTCCTTTTATTGCTACCCTCCTTCTGAAAGTCACAAGTCTTTACTTGAAACAACCAGGACATAAAAAAGTGTAGTACCTTTGCTTTGCATTCATTTGTAAAAATATTTATAAACTTGACATCATAAGAATTCCTGCAATAATTTTTTATCATAAACAAACATTTTGTTGATTATGAATATGTGGAAATAAAGATTTGATGTCAAAACACATTAATTTTTAGTTTTTAGTCTAAACAATCATTATTTTGAGGAGTAATTTTTGAGTAGGCAATGTCCCTTGACACCTACATGTATTACAATTTAATTTGTACATATATCTTTTTGAAAATGATTTTCAAAATTTATCTTTTAATCTCTCCATTTCATTTGTAATTGAATACAAGAATATACTGACTTTTCACACGTATGTACGAACTATGTACTTACTTTTTCTATCCCCTCTTGCAAATTCTATCTCCAGTTCTCTTCCCATGAATCTAGTTCTGTCCAAGTTATACAAGGCATCATCGGCATCTCTGGGATCTTCATATGTCAAGCTTGTTAAGGGTCACCATATAGGATGTGAATGACATTAAAACATTTCAATGCTTAATACAAACCCGTTTGAAATATATGTGTACTTATTTGACTATGAAATGAGTTTCCTTATAAACATGTTTGTATAGTACATGTGTATTTTTTTTATTTTGCAAATTACTAGGAATTAAATATTGTTGAATAAAACCAATCATTGCAGACAAATCTTCATGGAGCCTCCTTTTCATAAGCTTTGTAATTTTGTTGCATAAGTTTAAAAAAAGACACTGTAAATCAATTTTTAATATGAGTTGTTCAAAAGTATTAATTTTAACACCAATTTTGATTATAAATCTATTTCATTTCAATTTCCTTATACTGTTTGAAAATACTTTTAAGATTTTCAATTGGGTGACATTCTCCTTAAGGTTTTCAAATCCTTTATGTTACATTTTATCATAATTATATAATAGGGATTACCAGTATTTCTAATGGAACGTTTGTTCCAATTTAAAACAATTTAGCAGCAAAGTAAATTTTTTATGCAACACCTATTTGAGTAATTGAATGGATATTTTTCATCAGTTGTACCAATTTTACCATCTTTCTTGACCACGATGTAACTTGTCAAGAATGATTGAGTCCACTGTACTGTTCTGTACTGTATATTGGCAGACTTGACTTTTTACTGTACTCTTTTCCTTGTTAGCAAGTTGGCTTTATACATTTTCTGTGCCATTTAAGAACTTGACTTTTGGACTTTCTGTACTGACTTGACTGTAATGACTTTTGAACTTTTCTGTACGACTTGATATTTTTTAACATTCTGTATTAACTTGACTTTTAACCTTTCTGTACTCCCTTTACACTTTTTACTTTATTTCTGTAACTCTGTACTATACTTTGCCCTGTTGGCTTTTGAGTGCATATACTTTGTACTTGACTTGAAGTCTGACAAAAACAAATACAACTATATTATTATAATTCATCTTAAAAAGTTACAACAACCTAATATGAAACCAAACCAATCTGCAAATTAAAAACAAGCTTCACTTTCAAAATTATTTTAAAATGATCATGCAGTTAAATGTGTAAATGAAAAAGAAAGTGAAGTCTAAAATCAGATTATTCTATTTTGATTCCCCCAAAAGTAGTCAGGCCAATTACATGTAGTAGTAGTGAAAACAACTTCAGTAGATACAATGTAATATGAATATAAAGGATATTGTATATAAGCAAATCCTCTGGAACGTCTGGTAAAATAATCTTGTGGTATGTAAACATCTGTAAGGTGTCCATATTTACCAAACATTGCCCTCAAATCATCTTCCCTAAAGGAGCAGAATTAGTAATTCAGTACATTTCATACATAAAATAAAATTGTGCAACTGCATTATTTCCCCACAATAGCAGCATTTTGTTATCATTTGTGTGATATTTAATAGCTACCAAAACATTTTCCATAACACTGAAAGGCTTAAATAAATTAGCCAGGTAAAATTCAGTCTGGTAATTTTCATTAACATTAACAGATTTTTTGGTCCCACAGGTTATTGGTTGGTCAGATGAAGCATTGTCGTCTGTCTTACCAAATGTCCAACAGTCCTTTGATGAATTTTTGGAAGCCTGCTTGTTGAAACTTTACTTTGAAAAAAAGCACATAAATTCCCCAATAATACAAAATGCAGCGAACTTTTAAACAAGTAGTGGATGCGACCTTTTCACACAGGTTTGTCTGTATTCAAGAGTAATTTTTGTCCATTTGTTATGATGAACCTTAACTGGAAAACATTATTGGCCTGAAAAAGTTTAATCCCTTTTGGGATTCTGAGTTCGAGGTAAGGTTGTTGGCAAAAATTTTCCTGAATAGACTTAATAGGGCTAGATAATGGATTCTGAGGCGGACAAATCAGAAATTCGCTCTCATACTCAGAATCCCAAAAGGGGAAAAGAAAAAGTTATAAACATAGGTAGCTTTCATTCTTAACATTAGACACAAAAGGTCTGCAACATTGATTTTGTTGTGCAGCCTCAAAAAGCAATGCCTAATGACCAGATAACTATGATATTGGGTCTTGAGGCCTATCAATTTGTAATGGCCAATTTACACTTCTGCTTCTTCTACAGTGTTCCAGCTAGGTCGTTTTCACAGGGCGGTCCGCCCGCCCTTCCCAGAGTGCCGCCCTGTGCCCTATTTCTGACGCCCGCCCTTTTTCATAAGTCCATGCCGTAATATTTTTTATGAAAATACAATTATTCTACCTGTTTTGATATTCATGACAAGTTTATGACCCTCAGCTAATTAACATTTACAGCAGGTGTAATAAGTTGTGATTACAGTTAATCCACTTATCGACATCTGATGGGTCATTAATCCGATAATTAAACTTCATAATTGACCATTGTAATAATTTTTATCATTAAATTCAGTTAGTCAGCATTTCAATTTCAATATTTCTCAAAACATGACAATTAGTGTTTTGTTTATCCTAAGATCGTCTGTTGACTGTTGTTGTGATGTCAAAGATATTTTTTTTTATTGATCTTTTAAACTGGTTTTAATCCAGAAGAAAGTAAAAAACAATGCTTGACTGTACCTTTCATTGAATATCTATATCCAAATTAAATAAATTAAAGCTGTAATCCATGATCACAAATTGAATGCTTTGTTTACATTTGTTGAAAACCATGTGTTTTTATGGCGGGAAAATTCGGAAAACCCCTTTGACAAGAAACACAGTTCAGTTATTTATAGACAGAAAGAATTTCATTTTGATTAACTGCTAAGAATATTTCCTTAAAAATGAATACTTTCTTGGGGTGAAACTGATACTTTAATACTCTACATCTAGGAGTGTGTAAAATAGAAAAAAGGGGGAGTGGTTATATATTTTTTTCATACATAATATTACAAATATAAGTTTACCAGTCTGAAAAGACATGGTTAAATGGATTTTAATTCTGAAAAACTCAATGTGGTTTATTAATTCCTTTATTATTTCCATCATAATCAGAAACAAGCTACATGTATTAGGCATTTCAAACATATATATTATTGCCTTTATAAGAACATTCAAGACTATTAATAAGTATGTTAGGTATTGTTCCTGACTGTTTTGCAGATTTATGTGTAGTTTTTTAACTGACATGCACAATACATTTCACAAATGAAATAAAAATAATTATACATAACGCCGCTGCGCTCTGCATTGCAACTTAACCTTAGACCCACCATGCATCAAAAATTTTCTAGGGAAGACTGAGCTAGTAATATACGTCCTTGGACCCTTTAATACTGTAACCCAAAATAAGGTTGATTTTCATCTAGCATCATAACTCTTTGCTGAAACCACTGCAGTTTACTTAAGACAATGTTTGACATGCCCTTTTTGAAATATCAAACATTGTGCTAAAGTGCCCTTTTCATGATTGGCTCCCTGCCCTTTTTAAATCCTAGCTGGAACACTGTTCTACCATATAGGCCGAGTTCACTTGAAACGCTAGAGTCTACTTCAGAGTTTCAAGAGTATCACATAAACAAACTCCAGGTTGCTATTCGGAACCATTCTAAGTAACTCTTGGGTAAGGCCCTGACCAAGCGTAAAAAAAAAAGAAAAATAATCTGATTGGTTTGACGTCATTTAATAGTTAATCAAGTTTAACCCTGGCTCAGTGAGGGTTGGAACTAGGGTAAGAGGGGTTAACTCGAGAGGTGCAAGAAAACTCAGATGGTTGAAACCAGAGTAAGTAAAGTTAACTCGAGAGGTTCAAGTGAACTCGGCCATAGTGACCGCCTTCGACAAATTGAAGATTATATCTGTAGATGTTTACAACCCAACACAAGTTGGGAGACTCTCACTGTAACCAAATTATTGTTTCTACATTTTATCATCTAACTTTTCCAATTCTAAACTTAACTGAGCTTATAATATAATGAATTCCGGATTTTTCAACATAAAAGATGCTAAATTTTTGTTCAAGGACTTTACAGAAAGACTCGAAGGTAGAGAACGAAAGAAACAATATGATAGTACTGAGACTGGTACACAATAGTACATGTATCATCAACATGCTCAATATATAGTTCCACATGCTTGGCCTTGAAAAAAAACCACATCAATAAATTATTTCAAGTCGCCATGTCTGTAGATGGTATAACCCAGCCCAGCAAAACAAATTGATTTTGAGTGTTTCTAACAATAAGCAATCATTTAAGCTGCTATTTGCTCAATAACCTGCATGAATCTGGAACATTTCTGACATATAAAGAGGAATTTGGTGGTCTTGAATATCTAGACATTCTTCAAAACGTAATCACGCACGCTTGTAATTATTTCCTGTCGTTACTGAGCATGCGTGTGAACAAATTATAATCTGAAAACCAAAAATGAATCAAAGTAAACAGAGCACATTTACGTACTTGTAGCCAGTGGATGTCGAGGAGAACGGACGTGAAATATTTGCAGAGAGAATGCATCAACATCATCAAAATTTGTTTTATAAATTGTTTTCTTGGATGCATTTTATCATCCATAGATTATATACTTTCAATATCGGTCATTATTTTCTTGTTGAGGAAAACCTCTGCAGATATTTTCAAGCCGTTTGTTTGAGACATGCGCTATCCCCATTTGGGATCCATTAGTAGTTTCCATTCTTGGAAACCTGTCGGACCTATCATTTGAAGTCTGAGAGTTCTTCCTGTTCTCCTAATGGATCGGTAGTTTCTTTCCGAGATCCTTTTCAGTAGGGAGTTTCGGCTTTCCTCTACCATTGATACAGCAGGCATTTGGCAGTGTCCATAGGCGGATCCAAGGGGGGGGGGGGCTGGGTTGCCCGGGACCCCCTATTGTGGGAAAAATTTGGTTGATTATATAGGGAATCACTGAAGCATGACTGGAGCGGCCCCCCTTTAGGTCAGTCAATGGCCCCCTTACAAAAAGTTCTGGATCCGCCACTGGTGTCGGTTTTGATATGTATTTTGTCCTAACCGATTCCTCATTATTACCGTAGACGTATTTTGCCAAGGCATTTGTGGGGCATCCGGGGTGACCCTGTTCCATTTTATAAACACACAGATATTAAAAAAAAGGATATTTGATACATAGAAATATACCGTCTCCTGTTACAGTTTTGCACTTTTTTATACTTTGAGGACTGAGCGAATCAGGTGAGTGTGTGAGTTAGTATGTTTTATTTTATGACATTGTATTATGTTTGGGGAAAGTTAACTTTCTGGTAATAAGACCCGTCACGACCTGGCTGGGGAATTGGATAGGCAGATGCTCACATTAATCTGTACCGATATACAGGCTCCAAATGTCCTCCTTTATACGCCATAACTCATGGTGGTTCTCCTTATAAAGGAGGCTCATACGGAGACAAGAAGAAGAAGACTAGTAATTTAAAAAAAAAAATAGCAAATTATTCCCAGATTATGAGATATAATCAGAGAAATTCATTTTTGAGGTGCAAAATATTCAGAAACAATTTGTTCTTATATCAATGGTTTTATTAAAATATTCATCATAGATGTTTTGGAAATACTGTCCTTACTTTTTATCCATTTTTATCAGAGACATATCTTAGTAATGGACTTCTGATAATATGTATTTATGTCTCTGGTTTTATAATGTAAAAATACACAATCTCTTATGAATATACTTACATTATACTACCATTAAAAGAAAATGTAAAATGACAGGAAAAAATATATTCAATATTGGTTCAGAAAGTCCGGCAGAGGCTCAGAGCAATGGGTTGCAGTCTGTTTCTACACACTTCTTATTGTTTTATTGGCAACCAATTTAATATTGTTATCCATAAAATTTTGTCATTCAAACTAGTATTATTTTTTTCTATTTATCTAAACATAATTTTTTCAGAAAATATCTGTAATGGATTGTATAGCAGGTTTAAAATTGGCCTCTAGTCAACTTGGCTATACATTTTTGTATATATATTTGATCATATTTGTGTACAGAGAGGAGTGGGAAATCTAGTGAACAAGAACAAAAGAAAAATCACTCTTCTTATGATAGAGTCGATAAATCAATAATAAACAATGCCGGTGACGATACTGATAAAAAGTTATTTCTAAATAGCAATCATAGTGCACATTTTAAAGAAATTATCTGTTAAACTGTGTTATAAGTAATATACATGCAAATAAACGATGTTTTATGTTCAGTATTTATCATGGCGAGGTAATTGCATTAGAAGCTTGTGAAACTAAAATCTAAAAAGTTTTTACCTTTGCTGCATACTGACAAAAAAATGGAAAAAATCATGTACATAAAAAATCTAAAGATCTTTCGGGTCACCAATTTTCGGAGTGTTCCACAAAGTCCTTAGCATGTTACAATTTCCAAAAAATATACTTATTTTTCACATATAAGTATTCGAGTACACCGGTCTGCTCTTGTCACATGAACATTCAATATAGAAATATTGTCTTTTCGTGAATATAACAATTTAAAACTCTGTCTGTGTATGTGTGTAGGTTTAAAAATTAAAGATAAATATTTTTTATAAAGTAGGTATCTTTTTACTATTTTTTATATAATTTTAAGAAAAGGTCGCCTCGATTTTTGTACATGTATTTGCGGTCTTCTCGATCTATCCACATTCAATGTTTACATCGGGATAAGGTCCGTTTGAATTTGCTTAGTAACTTAATTTCAAAAGTGTTAATCTTTGCTGCATATCAATCGATTCCTTTTGAAATTTCCCCCGACTTTCTCTGATCTAGCTGCATAGACATGTCCACATAATTATCTAGTTCCAGAGAGGTATACAGCCAGCAGAAAAAAATAATTGAAGTTGGTACTCCAGGAATTTATTCGCATAGCAACATTTTGAACCCATTTTACATCAAGTTCCTATAGCCTGTTGTACTCGTTGTTTCCTATATGAGGAGGGAAATGATAACACTAAATGGAAGTTTTGTTTTTATCTCAACTTATTTCTGTTTTTGCTATTTATCGGAACGTTTTCCCGTGAATTTATAATTGATAGCGTCCTTGCTAAAACGGGTTTTTATATAGATTAGACCGTTGGTTTTCCCGTTTGAATGGTTTTACAGTAGTAATTTTTGGGGCCCTTTATAGCTTGCTGTTCGGTGTGAGCTAAGGATCCGTGTTGAAGACCGTACTTTGACCTATAATGGTTTACTTTTATGAATTTTGACTTGGATGGAGAGTTGTCTCATTGGCACTCATACCATATTTTCTTATATCTATCTACAAACATTGAAAAGATCTAGTTTCAGTGTTTACAGGGGAGGTCATATTTTTTCACTAGACTTCCCACTGAGAAAATAATGATGTAAGGCTAATATGACAAGTGGCTGGCCTAGTCCTATTATCTGCAGTTAAAGTTGAACTGTCAGACGTAATTTAGGCAAGTAACGATGTCTTGGGAGTTTATGTATCAACTGTGATACTGTATGGATGTAATTTTCATTAAGTCTTGAATAAATAAAAACTCTGGAGGACTTGTATTTAAAGGGGCAATGATTAGCTACGACTTAGAGTTAAAAAAAATACGATTCTTTTTGTTTGAAGTATAAATAAAAGCGGAATTTTGAAATAATATTTCGTTATAAGCAGTCAGGTTGGCCTTAATTTGTCAAAATAAGCCTAAAACATCGCTGATGTATTATTGGCTTGCAAGTTCAATCGAATTCGTATTCATTTGACCTTCGTTTTAACCCATTAGCTGGAGATGGGTTAATTACGCATGTAGTAGGCGTGTTAAGCTATTAAAAGGAAAAGAATGTCAACATTGAAAATGAAACAAGGGTGAACTATTTCGTTGACTGATTCGATCCACAAAAAAAAATATTCTTATACAGGTAAAAACGATAATTCAATTCAACTCTTTTTTTTTATCTATAACATGAAATCAAACAGACCTAGAAAAATCCAATTGCACGAGCTCAACATCTATTTATATTTATGTTTATATCGGGTTATATGACCGTCGGCAGTCTTCGGAGGTCATCTCGATGGTTGATTAGACGGCGTCTAGACTAAAATACAAACGAAATGCTGATACATATTATCGAGTCCATGTATATGCGCGTTAATTGTTTATTTTAGATTTTTTTGTAATTTGGATATACGTTTTATAAGTTATAAATCAAATGTGAGAACTTGAGTAAAATCGATGAACATGAATTTGACAGCTAATGTCCCTTTAAAGTTTATATTGTTTAAACTTTGTAAGCTATTTTTTGTTTATATTGTTTAAACTTTGTAAGCTATTTTTTGTTTATATTGTTTAAACTTTGTTAGCTGTTTTTTGTTTATATTGTTTAAATTTTGTAAGCTAATTTTGTCAATAAGTCTGAAGTAATGTACATTTGTAAATAAACAGGTAACTAGATACATGTACCATATTATGTAGTAAATAGAATTTACCACAGTATACATTTTCGTGTCATAGTATGGTTATGTCCGTCTGTCTGTGTTGTAGTCGGCCTACCCCTGTCGCGTTACAGTTTTTGGTGGCAGTGGATGGATAGTATTTGCATCATATGGATTACCAGTAGTTCAGTTTTAATATGGAAATAATGACTGTGCATTCGTAAATAATTGAATTCGGAATTAAACAGATTATTTTCACAAAATAATTTCACACATTTGCAAGAGGTATAGGGGAAGGTTTAATATCTCACAAAACATGTTTAACCTCGCCGAATTTTTGCGCGTCCCAATTCAGGAACATCTACCTTTTGTTAGTCTTGTGTGTTTTTTTAATTTTGGTTCATTTGTACGTTTCGGAGTTTAGTGTGGCGTCCATTTTGCAGAACTAGTATACATAATTGTTTAGGGGCTAACTGAAGCCCGCCTCCAGGTGTGGGTTTTCTAGCTGCGTTGAAGACCCATTGGTGGCCTTAGGCTGTTTCTACTCTTTGGTCGGGTTGTTGTCTCTTTGACACATTGCCCGTTTCCATTCTCTATAATATTTGTGGATTAGTTTATATATTTAGATAATTTCAAATGGAATAAAATATCTCATATGTGTATACATGGTAATTATCATTGGAATTATTTATTGATCAAAATGGACAAAATTATGTGATTCTTCAGATAGAGAAATTTATTTCGGAGGTGCACGACCAAAACTATCAATTGATACGGGAATAGGATTAAGTTCAACTGTGTTATCAGCTTCAACGCTTAGAATCACACACACACTCAAAACAAATCAACATTTAACTATGTAATGTGAAACTTTTCAGGAAGACATTTCAAGTGCTCTGACTCCGAAAAGAGAACCAATCCCGTATTGTTCCAACCTTCTAGTAACCAAGAATCGCATCAACTAATCGTGTGAAAATTGAAAAG